TGGAAAGAGATGGAGGACACTTAAATTTATTCTCCAGGTCTGTACTACCTTTCACATCCATAGAACCTTAAACCAAGCAGATACTGTGTAGTAAGTTTTGAACAGTTATGGAGGGGCGGGGGGTGTTGGAGAGAAAGATAGTAAGGAGCCTGATGAGAATGAGTGTAATTTTGACCTTGGCTAGTTTGCTAAGACACAAAAGAGAAGGGACGGGATAGAAAGGAACAGAACATGGCTAATGTGATAGCTGGTAGGTCTGTGAGTCTCGGGTGGCCTCCTTTCATTTTGCTAGTAAAATGATTAGGAGACTTCTTAACTCAATCCCAAACCCTCATGCTACAGGCTAGGAGTCTGACTAGAATGAGTTTCTTGGGTTAGGAAAGAAAGCAAGAGGACAGAAATGGAAATACAAGTTTTGTTCATTTATGTGATTTTTGGTGATGTTTTCATTCAATAACTTCTTTGAGGGTGTTTGGTTTAGCTGCTTGATAAAGAACTCAATGAAATGGAAATTTGAGAAAGCCTATTCTAAAAGCTTTGCTTTTAACCATGGGATACCAGTTCACATGCACTAGGATGACTATGATAAAAACACACAACAACAAAACCCCAGAAAAGAACAAGTTGATGAAGGTGTGGAGGAATTGAAACACTTGTGCATCGCTGGTGGGAATGTCAAATGGTTCACATGCTGTGGAAAACAGTATGGAAGTTTCTCAAAAAGTCAAATATAGAACTACCTATGACCCAGCAATTCCACTTCTGGGTGTATATCCAAAAACATGGAAAGCAAAAACTCAAACAGATATGTGTGTACCCATGTTCACAGCATCATTATTCACAATAGCCAAAAGGTGGAAACAGCCCTAATATCTCTTGATGAATGAATGGATAAACAAAATGTGGTATATACATACAATGAAACATTATTGAGCTTTATAAAGGGAGGAAATTCTGACACATGCTGCAACAAGGATGAACCTTGAAGACATTGTGCTATGTGAAATAAGCCTGACACAGAAGAACAAATATTATATAATTCCGCCTATATGGGATACCTAGAGTAGTCAAATTCATAGAGACAGAAAGTAGAATGGTGGTTGTAGGGGTTGCGGGAGAGGTGAGTTATTGTTTAATGGGAACTGAGTTTTAGTTGAGGAAAGTGGAAAAGTTCTGGAGATGGATGGTGGTGATGGCTGCACAAAAATGTAAATTTACTTAATGCCACTGAACTGTACAATTAAAAATGGTTAAAATGGTGAATTTTGTTATGTATATTTACCACAATTTTTTAAAAAGCTTTTACTCTTTTAACCATACAGTGCTTTATATACTTATGTATTCGTGAAAGGAGGATTAGTAGATAAAGAATAACTGGGAAAGTCTTTGGTTTTCTCCTTCACAAATTTTAATCATCACTAGGCTTTCTTATTTTGATTAAGTTCATTCAATCATCCTTCCTGTAACCATGGCTAATGTATATGTGCCAGGCACAGTGTGCCTAATTCTTCCCATGGATTATCGCGTTTGTTCCTTACAACAACACTAAGGTAGGTACTGTTATAATTTGTAATTTACAGTTGAGGGAATCGATGCTTAGAAAGGAAC